GCATTATAAAAATTTTTGCAAAAATTATTCACACGATAAAAATTACATGTAATTTTGATTTCAGAAGATTACACAAATTTCGTAAAATAACGTAAAATTACAGTAATTTTCCATCCCTACACCTAGGGTTAATTATGTATCACTAGCACAGTAATCTCTTAAGCTCTAAAAAATACACGAAATGCCCTTTAGCTTTCACATGAATATAACCCATAACCTTTTCCTTTATTTTTCACAGTTCTTCAAGTGATGCAATATTATTTTAGTTAGTGTAGCTGTTAACGATGGCTATTATTATTCGCTTAAAATGCTTTGCATAATGTCACATAAATTTTCTAAATTTATTATGTGATCGCATATGTCTGGTGTCTCTACTTATTACAGCCATTATTCCCGGGACACTTGAAAAAATCGGCGATGATCGAATCAATAAATTTTTTGATATTGACCGATGTTAGTAGCTCATCCATTCGGTCATCCAAAATTTTTTCAAGTGTCTCAGTAATAATTGTGATAGCTGCAATACAAATGCTCTGCTATTTTTCTATAAATTATAGTATGAAATCGCACTAAAATTATACTAAAATTAATACAGAACATACTAGTATAATGCAATACAATATAGTATACTCATTATAACTCCCTTTAAACAACTCAAACGCATAGGTACTAATATAAACCAATTTATTGAATATTCATATATATTTATACATTTGAACATATTTATGAATTGATAAATTCAAATACAAGCATTTACTGTATTGTTGTATGCGCCATAAAAAAAAAAATAAGCCATTATAGTTTCCAAGTTTATTATTAAATCACAATTCTTTCCGTTATATTTAGTTGTAATCCTATTCACAAAATTTCCGACATTAATGAATTATTTCACAATGAAACTAAATGTCTTCGTATGCACTGTAGACTTCGTTCGTCGTTACAAAGTCTATATATGGACTTTGGCCTAATAATAATTCTCCACAATAGGTAGCTTCTTATATATGTTTGCTTTCGCAATGTTTGTCATAAATTGCCATTAGCTTACTGTAATACTGTATATTATTTACAAATTGTATCCTCTGCCTCTTTTTTTTCTTAAAAAAAAAAAAAATTGTAAAATTGTCCCAGAATATAGCTCAAGAGAAAATCAAATCACTATTCCAAAAACGTCTTTTAAAGTCAGACAAAGTAGTTGTGAACTCATGTTTTGCGGGATCTCCGAAACTTTCATGAAAACCTAAGGCATAGACGTGTAAATACTTTTCGTAAAGTAATTTATATGAAATACGAATCTTTTCAGAGTCTGATAAAGGATACCGGGCAAAAAGGTCTTTGGCCTTTATGAAATGTTCAGTGATCATCCAATTTCTATGCAACAAATTAAAAATTGAAGCACAGTTACCCATCGAGAAGTTGCTACTAGTGTCCTTAGGCCAGAAAAACATGAGTGAATAACGAGTGTTGGGTTTTTGAATGCATAATGGCATGCAACTAGGCTCATAGCCTGATGCTAAGTCTTTAAGAAAATACATTTCAATTAGAAAATTCTTATTCGGTTCCAAAGTTTTGGGAACTTTATACAGTTTCTGTCGCTCTTTAATTGGGTGTTGGTTAAACAACCAACTTTCATTAATTTGGGCGTTGAATTTACGATAGATTACGCATGAATTGCATCTACAATTGGCAGCCGGTATTTTAGCTTTGTCAAACGGTCCTTTGTACAGACACTGCTTGTATGGGTTAGGCCATTCTTTGTTATTTATTTTATGATTAAGTTCTAATCCCTTTTTTTGCGCTATATCTTCCTGAATAGCCCAACGATTGATCGCTGGATTAGATGAGGCCATTCGTAATTTGTGAATTCCATCCATCAACAGTTTTAAGTCCTGATAGGCGAGATTATCCTGTAGTTGGTCTCGCTCTTCAGAGTCAGAATTCTGAAATATATTAGTAAGCTCATCTCGTAGTTGGTCTTGCTCCTTAGGGTTGGAATTCTGAACTTTCTCGGTGAGATTATCTCGTAGTTTGTCTCGCACCTCAAGATTAGGATCAGGATCAGATTTCTGAAGTATTTCTGTAGAATTATTTTGTAATTGTTCACTCCCTTCAGGATTGGAATTTTGTAATTTACATTCTTTCCACTTGGATTTATAATTAGTAGAAAGAATTTTCCGGAGACTTAAGTTTTCTTTGTGAGTTCTGTTTAAAACAATGAATAATTTCTTTTTCAAACTTGTATGATCTTGCTTTATTATATCGAGATCCTTGCTATTATGATATTTAACAATTGATTTATATAGATTCGAATGAGAAAGGAAGGAGAAAACTTCATCTGATTTAGTCTCATTAAGTATGATAGTATTCATTAAGTGAACAGTAGCTGAATTAACTTTAACTAAAGGAAAAATAAGTTTGTCACACTCCTCGATTTTGAAACCTAGAGAACTTAGAAATGAATCAATGAATGTGGGTGGATTTCCATTATTGTTGCAATCATGTTCGTTATCTATTTTAACACATTTTGGTATTCCTGGATGAGGAACATCTTTAAAGAAATTAGAATGAGGCATATGCTCTCTAAATTCTTCTCGTAAAAGAGTTGTGCAAAGAACCAATACTAGTTTTGGAGAAATAACATAATAGTAGCGGTTGGCAACATGACCTTTAGAAAATGGTACATCCCGTCCGTCGTAGATTCCAAATCCATTACTAGTTGTAATAAACTCATCATTTTCTCCTGCTTGCCAAATTACGAGAAAACGATCAATCATGAAATCCATGTAATCATGTCTATCAGGCCCAAATATTCGTAAATTGTTTTTGATATCCTTATTTGTAGTATCTATTATTTCACGTATATTTTGTAACCAAACTTCTCGAGGATATTGTATATTATTATCTTGCATAAATTTTTTAAGTGATAGCAATGTATAGATATCAAAATCTTCATTGATAAATTGAGACCATCGATGAGGTTTTCGATAGTTCATAATAAAAAGAAATTTTCGTAGATTATCGAGACTTGTACTAGATAAAATTACCTGATTTTCTTTTTGAGAAGCATTAACAATATTATGAATTACATCTGATGCTTGCGTCTCTAGTTTACAAAGTTTCTTTTCTACTTGCATCACATTTTCATGATTGAAATCTTCATACATATTCGTGATTCCATAAGTTTTTGAAACTGGAGAGATGTCAAATTGATTGTTATTTCTATTATAAACTTGAAGAAGTGCATTATCCTTATTCTTTTTCTTAAATATCTTTTTTTGTTTTTTGGATAATGTTCCATTGCTCTCAAATATCCTTTCATGACTATTAATAGCAAAATTTCGAAGAATGAATCTAGGAATATAGTGATGATATTGATCTTTTTGCATTATAATATATCGATTAGATACACTACATAAGAAGAGTATGTATGTTGCGTACGTACACTGATTTATGTTTTTTTCATTATTATTTTCACGTTACACCAACTCTTCCAGCGTAGCCACAAAAAACATCAGGCACATGAGCGCTGTGGCGTAAGATTTATTTCCTATTGGGCTGAAGAGGAGTGGAAGATCTCTCAGTCCTATTCTTAAACAAAAAGAACGGTTAGAATTAAAGATTAACTTCACTAGTGGCGCTCTCTTAATCCTAATCACTAAAGTGATCACTTTAATTCAAAGTAAACAACGAAAAGCAGGGGCACGCCGACAATCACACTGCAGTCCGTGGGAAAATCGTCGCGAGAAGCGAATAAGATTCGTACCTGAGTCCTCCCCTCATGTCATTTTGTAACTTAAAACCTCATGTTAAAGTCGGCCTGCTTTATGCAATATGGGAGACCACCGACTGATGCTGCGCATCGCGAATAGTTGTTATTTCTGGCTGTATATCACGCCTCAGTTTATACTTCAATTGCACTGAGGCATGCTAGATATTATCTACAGAAAATCGTCAATAAAGTTCTATCTGGCGCTATTAGCCAGATGCATCCAAACAATAAATTATGTCACGTACGTGTAGTGTTTTTCGAAACTAATTTTACATATTTTCGAAGTTACCGCAGTAAAGTTTGACATACTCTAATTATGTTATATCTACAATTCACAAAGAAAAAGAAAAATCCATGAAGCACAGAATGGTTGGTGAAGCATAGTGATGTCTCAATGATTTACGGCTTAAACTGTAATTAGCTAAAGCTTATGTCGTAACTAGTTACGGCAATCATTGGGACGATTCTACCGCATCACTAGTGAAGCACAAAATGGAAATTTTTACTCAGAGATACGTACGTACATAACTGATAAATAAACGAAGACATATTTCTGATTTATGTGTACGAGCGCACAGTTTTCTTCACTCTGAACAATCATACCATGTGATCTGAAAAAATTTTGAGCGGTGATTAATACCATCTCTGATAAGTAGTAATGTTGGAATAGTTAGATACATAGAAATATACTTTGCGTAACTTTAAAGTTTTTAATTTATAAACGTAGTATTTAACCAGGCGTATTGTTCTGCATTACAGTAAAATTAGTTTTCCTGCATTTACAGTAAAATTTCAGATGAAATTAAAATCAGCAGATATATTCTGACTTGGTTATTGTTAAGAATATGGAATTGAGTTAAAGGGACAAAATATCAGAAATCTGCAGATATGAATAATTTTGATGCTACAATTTAGTGATTGGAGTTGAAATGGATAAGTATAAAGCAAATTTTAAACGAATTTTAAGTTGCAATTTGTTACAAATACGAAATTGGCGTGGAAGAGAGTTATAATAAATTCAAAGATTGGATTAAGTTCATTCTTTGACATTCTAAATTAGAAATTTAAAAACTATTACTTTTTATTTAGTATATCTAAATTAAACCATTTTATTCATTCTTAGTTCGTGAGTAAAAAGAAAATTTCTTAATTAAAATATTAAATAAGCACATTTTATTTATATTATTTAGCTTGTGAGTACTGTATAAGGAACATATTAATTTAGATGTTTAATTAAGCTTTTCTGGTTTATAAGTTTGCTTCAATTTTAAATTGTAAGATTAATAGTTTTCATTATAAATATTCGAGTTTCACTTATTTTATGTTAGGTTTAAGTTAGAAGTCTTAGCTATATGTAAAGTTAATTAGAAGCATAGTTTTCATTATAAAGTGTTTGTGCACCTTAATATTTTTCGCTTATTTTAATTACACTAGATCCGGGTGAAGTCATCAGGAGAAAATTAACAACAGTCCTTCAGTAGTGGTTTTCATAAGGGTTAATTGGTGTGGTATTTTGATAGTTTAGTGTTGGTTCTTGGTCAATAAATGCTTTGATAGTTCTAAAAGAAGGATCATAAGAGTTAATTGACGTGGTGTTTTAATCGTCTAACGTTGGTCCTTGGTCAATAAATGCTTCGATAGCTTCAAAAAGAGTAGTAATGATACGATTACAAATATGTAGAGTTCCCGAAGTTCGAGTAAGAAGATTAAAATTCTTCATAAGGGTTAATTGATGTGATAATTGGTGTTGGTTCATGATTAATAAATGCTTCAGTAGTTCTAAAAGAAGATTCATAAGGGTTAATTGACGTGATATTTTGATCATTTAACGTTTGTCCTTGGACATTGAATAGCTCTGTAGTTCCGAAAGAAGTGATATGATTAAAAATATGTGAGGTTTCGAAGTTTGAACAAGGAGATTGAAATTCTTCAGCAGTAGTTTCATAAATATTAATTGGTGTAGTATTTTGATGATTTGGTGTTAGTTCTTGGTCAATAAATGCTTCGGCAATTCTGAAAGAAGGAATGGTAGTGATAGAATTATAAATATGTGAGGTTCCAAAGTTTGAGTAGGAGGATTGAAATTCTTCATAAGGGTTAATTGATGCAGTAATTAGCGTTGGTTCATGGTTAATGAATGATTCAGTAGTTCTAAAAGAAGATTCATGAGGGTCAATTAACGCGATATTTTGATCACCTAACGTTTGTACTTGACTAATGAATGGTTCGGTAGTTCCGAAAGAAAGAATGGTAGTGATAGAATTATTAATATGTGGGGTTCCAAAGTTTGAGTATGAGGATTGAAATTCTTCATTAGGGTTAATTGATGCAGTAATTAGCGTTGGTTCATGGTTAATCCTCCTACTTATAATACGCTAATCTCTATCACTAATTGAAAAAAGTAACGGGCCCCATGAAATACCCCTGCATTAGCAGGGGTATTTCATGGGGCCCGTTACTTTTTCAATTAGTGATAGAGATTAGTGCATCATAAGTAACTCTGTTAATCGGAGATTTTTAAAGTCCGCCGAAGTGTTGTGGTCACGTGACCTTTGTCTTTCGTGTTCCCACAAAATTGGATAAAATTCAAACTCCGCTGAATCAGAGTTTAAATTTTGTTAAGTTGCAATTGTCAGTTTATTAAAAAAATATGATTAATTGAAAAAATCAGCTGCTAAATTTTTCAGCATGATCGGTATATAAAAAATATAATATCTATGTTATAAATTAAATATTTTTGAATTTGCTCAATTTTTATTTACTGTAATATTGACATCTAAATTAAATATATTTTTGAATTCGTTCAATTTTTATTAACTGTAATATTGATATAATATCTACGTCTAAATTAC